TGTGTCATGTCATGACAAATTTATCTGCATATACTTCCAGGTTTCAATGAGTAAAAATTTAATACCATAGGCTGGCCTGTATTTCCATATACCGGAGTAGTTAGCTATTTGATCCTTTGATATTAGCTCTAAATTTATTGAAAGCAGAATTTGCCAAGCATTAGATTATTCACCCACCAACAGGAAATTTGAGCTAGGTTTAGACTATTATGAAACAGATTAGTAAAACTAATTAATGCGTCTCACATGGTCAAATGACTTTGTCCAAAGATCAAATGAATTTCACAAATTAGTTTAGACTTGTATCAATATCCTCCAATGGGTATATACAGTACAGGAAAGTTTAAAAAAAAAAAAAAAACTGGTACAATTGCCTTCCTAGGCGAATGTCCTCTGAATAATGAAGCTAAAATTGGTATCTGTTGACAACATGAATCAAAATGTACGTCATGCATACTCCCTCGATGTCTATTCGTCCTCCTGACTGAAATGAGACAATGAATTATTTTCTCACCGTATACCCTTTAAACACCTATGAAAACTTTGTCCCCTTTTAGAGATACAACCACATTACATGTGCTATATAATCTGTCTAATCAATAGCAATGGTGAATAGACCATTTTCCGTACACTGCGAGAATCACGCGTTATACGTGAAATCGAACGTACTAGTAAAAACAGGACAAACAAAGGTCATAGCGTCGTAGTCGCATCAAACATCGCGTGGGATTCGACAAACGCGAAAGTATTTTGGGGGACATTTCCATGCTTAATAATGTGCTGTCCACATTTGATGATAGGCAATTTCGATTAAGTGAGGGTATTCGGAAGCAATATTCCCATAGTCGAAGATCGGCCGGTCAATGTAAGCCGCGAAATAAAGAAATTATAGTTCAAAATCAAATCGTTCGATTTTTGCGGCAGACGTTCGACGCGCGTCTTTCATGCATCTCGCGAGATCTCGCAATTGTTCGGAAAATCACCTATTAGATCTATTTGGTTCAAAATTATAAACAAGCATTTGTAATCCATGGGTACTTTGTGGGCATGATCCAATAGAGTATGAACCGAAGAATTTATTAAGAATTGAGACAACGATGTAATATCATTACCATATTTCATTGTTCTATTAGAAACACATGGCTGACGATTGCATATATAATATACTGTATTATTGCAATATGACTTATTTTGACCATTGACATACCTCTATTTACTTATTTTCTTCACCACCACTTCCTTCTTTTCATCACAAATTATTCCTGTTTATTTTCCTTCAGAATACAGGCCCCAAAATAGCTGGGGTGAAAATATAAAATTTATTCAAATTCTATCTGTTGGTTCAAAAATTAGGGTTCATTTCCAGAAATATTGAAGAATATAAGAAAAAAGTGCAGAAAACATTTGGGCAAGAAAATTTGGTTATGAATAGGTTACCAGTAATAGCACAACTACTCTGTCAACTTTTCAAGACTAAAAAAAAACATAAAATGTTGTATCCAAATTATGGAAGGAAAAATTGTAGTATTAAATCAAATCATTAAATAATATTCCAACATCTCCACAACACAGATAAATAAATATTATAACATGAATTTACTGCTGGTTCTACTTCTTAGTTTTGATTTTGTTTTCAGTTATGAGTGACAACCAATGACATGCTGGTTATTAAAATAATTATTTTAATTCTGTCACTGTTTCTTTTACAAAATAATCTATTTCAATTAATCAACCCATAAAATAATCAGCATCAATCAAATGCATAACACCATCCCCTGTAGTAGATATTTTAATATAAATTCTTGTGAGCTGTATCTAAGATGACCACATAGCAACAATGCTATTTAGTATTACCATAGCAACAATTTATTTTTGCAGTGATAAGTACCGGATTCGGCTGATACCCCGCCCTGGGGGATCTTATGGAGGATGCGATTTGTTTTTAGAAAAATGTGGACCAAAGAT